GTCTCATGTATCAGTACTCCCGTACTAAAAAATGGCAATGGGGATGCTTTAACTAAAGCTTGTTGAATGAGTTTTAGTTAAAGCGCCCCTGCTGCCATTTTTCAGTGTGGGGATGCTGATACGCATAACGCTGGAGTCTGCTGGAGTGTGATAATTGCCATGCTCCAGCAGACTCAATCAAGTCTGCTCCAACACACTTTAATTAGTGTCAGAGCAGCCTCAATTACAGTGTGTCAGAGCAGCCTCGCTGCATGTGTATAGGTACCTTCTGTGTTCAAGACTGAATAGAGGACAATTCCTGCTATGCCTGAAAAGGTAACAAGAACTTGAAAAGCGTAGGAAATGTACCTTGTGAATACTATACAGCCTTTAAAAATTCCTGGGGTACCAGGATTAAGAGGAGGTATATAAGCATAAATGCATCCTTTTTATTGCTTAGTATTAATTAATATCATCTTAAAAGAATGTGCATACCCTGCCTTGCTCAATGCATTTTGTCAACATAACAACAGCATAGATATTCTTTTCCCAAATCATCCGCCAGAAGTCTTCCAGAGTGTTCGGTAAGGGACCTTGTGCAGCAATAAATTCGTTCCTTAAATTGTATCCCTAAAATAGAAAATATTTTTTATATTCAAAAGTGCTCTTAATCATCACACAGGACAAACCTATTTAAAGGTATCATTTGATTTGTCTAGCTTATATCATAAAATATACCCAATTTTTAATTTTAGTTGCTTTAACAGACTCACAGGCATGTAGTTCGCATTAATATAATCATCAGTTGGATGGCTTTGGGCTGAAAGTTTAACACGAGAAATGTCATCTGCAAAAAAATAAAAGCGTGTTTTTTAGCGTTTCAATGTTTTGGCTAAACACTAACCAAAATCGTTTTGAATAAATGCTTCAAATTCAACACACATTTTTAAAATCAGAATAGATGGTTATTTTTGGAATCAGAAACAGGTTTTACAATCCTGAGTACATGCAGTGATTATCTGCAGAAGGCAAATGCTCAGCAAAACAAATTAATTTTCCAGTAACTGAATAAATTAGTTATCTTTAATCTGTTTCAGTGGTATTGATTGTAACTGCTGGTCTAAGGACATAGGCAGACAAGGTTACTTGGGTAATACCTTTCATTAGACCAACAGGGCAGTTGGAAAAATTGTTCTTTGCAAGGTTTTGGGCACAGGAGCCCTTCTTCAGGAATAGGGAAAGTCAATATGGTGTGTATACACATATAAATGTAAGTGTTCTTTGAATGCTTGTAGATTTAAAATTTTTAAACCACTAAGAGTTAAGTATTTTTAAAAAGTATTTTGAGATTATTAACCAGAATCAATATCATACATATATGTTGGTTTAGAATAAAATAATAAGGAAGCATTTTAATAATTCAATAAACCTGAAGTAAACAGAATAAATCTAAGGATCTTGAGGCACTACATTCAGGTGGTATCATTAACATATATTTTAATGTAATTTAATTTATGTCTAGAACATATACGTATGTGTGCACAAGATCTAATGTAATTTAATTTACAATACATGCATGTACGTATATACACATATGCATACATACACACAGATCTATGTATATCTATATCACATACACACTTTCTGTTGTGGTACTCCTCAAAATTATTTTCCCCATAAACATCCAGAGCTCTCTCATTACTCTTTTGACTTCCTCCTTCCAACTCCCTTCTTCATGATGCCTACAGAAATCTTGGAGATTCTGAGGCTACTGGTGTGACAAGATCACTGCCCATCTATTTGATCAATACTGCCACTTTCCTGGGTCCATCCCACCTGTTTCTCTCTAGCTATTTATTGTCTCATATACAAAGAATATGTGCAAGGCCATGTAGTACTTCATGAATGAAAAAAATCAAACTAGATGTGGAGAATGTGTGTTATAAAAAGGTTTGCATGTTCTGTTAATACTATGGCTTTTGGAAAACTGCACAATAGTCATCCCAATCCTTTTAATTTTTTTATTTATTTATTGTGACATTTACATCAGTACCCATCTCTGAAGTACCCAAAACCATTAGTTAACTGAAGCCTTTCAAAACTCAACTTAAAATTAAAAAAAAAACAAAAAGAAAGAAATAAAGTAAACAATCAAAAACAACAGGAGGTGACTTACATGGCAATACATTATTATATCTATTCTTTCCTCTGTTCTCAGTAAGTTCAGCAGCAAATTTAGGCTGATGGACACCGACAGGCCTCAGTTCCTGCAGCAAAATAGTAACACTAGTTTAAAGACAAGAGACAAGCAGTCAGTGTGGTAGGCAAACAGCTGACACATGATGTCCTTCTAGCAGTAAAAGTATTAAGTCCTGGAGAAGTGGTAATACAGCAAGCCCTTTTAAAAAGAGAGTCAAAGAGATAGAGAAGGCAGAAGAGAAAGGAGTAAAATAAGGTGACAAAAAGAGTAATAGGATTTGTGTTTCTCACAAATTGTTTTTTTGCATTGTCTGTAAAATATGCAAGAGTGATCATGACTACATGCTTACTCTGGCTTTGACTTGGCAAAGCACTTAAGCACATGCTTAACTTTCCACATGTGCTTACACCTTACTGACTTTATTTCCTTTCTTTGATGGATTTGGGGCCTCAAAGCTGAGCTGTTACTG